GCCGCAGGGGAACTCTCTCTAAAGAGCTTATACAGAAGAAAGATGATCTTTTCTTTGCCAGAAAGTTCCATGGACCTCAAGTCACTGTCCTTTGGTTCATTATGGTGGTGCCTTCAGGGCTAGGAGAGAGTTGAACCCGTGCCTTTGGCCCTCAGGGCTCCCCGGTTCTATGCCTGCACTCTCTCCCCTGCTCCCCAGGCACCGGCCACAATGGATCCTCACCCACCTGAGCTCCTTCCTACCTCAGAGCTGCAACCTGCTGTTCCCGCTGCTGTTCCCTCTGCCCCCAGATCTTGGCATCTCCACCCCCATGTCACCTCCTCTGAGCGGTCAGCACTGACCACCGGGCCTGTGTCTCCGGCACGAGACAGGATCGTCTTGCTCTATGCCGACATTTAGTAGTTTTTTCCTCTTATATTTTCTGTTTTCCAGTGTTTATATAATGCTGTTGTTACCTTTATAGTAGCCAAATAACCTGGCAGTACTGCCACAGAACTAGTGGCTGGAGCAGGAGGAATCCCGCAGCCGCCTCAGCAGGGCCAGCTGTCCTCCTGGGCCGTGCTCGCAGTTCACAGCCTCGGGCGCCCCCTGTGGGCCGGGCACTGTGCTGATGCTGAAATCAGTGCGGCCAGGAAAGTCAGCCGGGGTGGGGACCTTTTTCCTGCCAAGGCACATTCGGGTGTTTACAACATCGTTCGCGGGCCATGCAAAATGATCAGCTTAAAAATCAGCCTGCTCTATTTGGTCAAACATTTCATTAACTCACCCTAAGGCCTTGGCGGGGCCAGACCAAAGGATTTCGCAGGCCTCACACAGCCCACGGGCAGATGATCCTCACCCCAGGTCTAGGGGAAGCCCCATTTCACAGATGAAGAAACTGAGGCTCAGAGGGGCGGAGACACGTGCCCAGGTCACACTGCTGTGTGTGTGTGTGTGTGTGTGTGTGTGTGTGGAGTCTGGGTCCAGCTCGCTCCTCCTCCAGGCTATGAGGGCTCAGACCTGCTGACTCTTGCTGTGGGAAACCCCACAAAGCCACAGGCAGGGTGTGGGGGTGGGAGAGGAGAAAGGAGGCGGCATCACCCCCTGGGTGTGTTTGGAACCCTCCTCCAGGGTCCTCTGGAGTCAGGGCTCCAGGCAGCGCTGGGGGGCCTGCCAGGGTGAGGGGCTGTTTGGAGAGAGAATACAGCAGGTCCCGGGCTGGGATACTGTGGCCGATGGCAGCTGGGGTCCGGCTCTCAGGAACCCGGCCATCTATTCAGTCCCCACCGCTCCACTGCGGAGAGCATAGCTGCACGGCAGAACCTCGGCACGGGGCGATTGGCATGGAGGGCGGGGCAGGCTCGGAGCAAGACGGGTCCCAGAGAACGGTGTTCTGTGGGGACAGGGCCATGAGTTCCAGAAAGTCCTGGCAGGCCGGGCCGATGGGGAACCGAGGCTGTGGCAGCGCCGGGGCCTCCTCAGGGCCCCCAGAGAGCAAGGAGCTGAGCCGGAATCGGACCCGGGTGTCATGGCGAGTGTCTGTTCACTCGTGCATTCACTGTCTTTCATTTGTTCATTCATTCATTTACTCCATCATTTGTTTGTTGGGTGGTTTGTTCAGGAAATCTTTGCTGAGCACCTACTAAGTGCCAAGCCAGTGCTGGGCTCTGGGGGCAGCAGGGACGGAGGGACACGAAGTGCCTGGAGTCCCCTGGGAGACACCGGCTGGCGCAGAACAGAAGGCGGTGGGAGGCCCCGGGGAGGAAGCCCAGCATTGGGGCTGCTTTGTCAGCGGCTTCGTGTTGTGAAAAGCAGATTTCCTTTCCCTTTCCCTTTCCAAGAAGCGTGAGAATGCAGCTGTCGGGTCTGGGGCTCTCTTGTTTCATCTCCACCCTGGGCTTCTCTGAGGGGGCGGCTCTGGAGCCAGAAGCGAAGGGGAAGCAGGAGTCAGCGGCGAGGAGGAGGGAAAGAGTGGGCCGAGCGGAGGAAATGCCGTGTGAAGGCCCTGGGCCACGAGGGGACGTAACTGTCCTCAGCCTCAGTTTCCCCATCTGTACAATAGGCGCAGTGGTCCTCGCCTGCTGGGCTGGGGGACAGTTCGGTGGATTGTGCCTGGCAAGCACGTCGGCCTGAGTCCCGCTCTCATAGGTGCCTGATGGTGGCTGTTATTCGGAATCACAGACCACGGCAAAGGCAGTCACTTGCGGTCGGCACCCCCAAGCCTGTGGGGGTCCCCAGAGACCAGCTAGTTGGTGGTTCTGCTGCCTGGGGACCTTTGGCAATATCGAGGGCCTCTTTTGGTTGTCACGACCTGGGGGAGGGGTGCTCCTGGCATCTAGCAGGTGGAGGCCAGGGATGCTGCTGACACCCCACAACACGCAGGACAGGCCCCGCCATCCAGGCCCAAACGTCAGTGGTGCTGGGTGGAGGGACCCTGGCCTAGGCTACACCACCTATTACACCGGAAGGGAGGTCAGGGGTCGTTGTGGGGAAGGGGTTGGCTCAGAGTCCCTCTCGCAGTGAGACAGCGAGATAGCGAGACAGGATGGGACAGGACCAGGTCTTCTGGGCTCTGGGCAGAGCAGCAGGCTTCCTGGCGGCTCCAAGTCTGTGGGAGGGAGGGCAGTGTGTGGAGGAGAGGGAGGAGGCCCGGGCCTGTTGGAACCTGAGGCCTGGGCCCAGGTGGGGAAGAAATTTCTGGGCATGAACTTTATTATGAGGCAGCAGCTCCCTCGGGTGCCCACAGTGGGGGGTGTGCCTGTGTGGGGTGTCCCGACTCAGCCAGCCGGTGGGGGACGGGCTGCCCCTCATTGGACCTCGAGCACCATGCAGGGCTGGCCTCGGAGCTGTGACGACTTGCAGGGTGGA